AGTAATTTACTAACTACAATCTTTATTCGTCGGCAAAATTTTCAACTAATTGGATATTGGTTGGCAAGTTTACCAACAAATTACATTTCGTTACTAATTTACCAACACATTTATATTTGGTTGGTAAATTTAGCAACACAATCTTGCCGTTGGTAAATGTTTGGTTAGTAATTCATTGGTAATATGTTAATAAATTATATAAACAATTTTTTGTCATATTTACCAACCGATATATACTTCGTTGGTAATATTACCAACAAAAGGTGTGCGTTAGTAATATTTCAGTTGGTAATCCATTGATAAAATGTTGCTAAATTTGGCGCCATTTTTTCCCGCCGTATTTACCAACCAAAATACTTAGTTAGTAAGATTTTGGTTGGTAATCTGTGAGAATTTCGTTGTTAAGTTTTAAAATATAATTCAGTTAGAAATATGTTGGTAATTTGTTATTAGAATACTAACCAACTTAAGTTGTTAGCAAAATCTGTTGGCAATTTAGGGTTTTTTTGTAGTGCAAGTTGATGAAAAAGGAAATTTATGTCACTTTTCTTGAGAAATGTAGTTATACAAGTTGTAAGGGACAAGATTAAGATGTTATACCATCTTTGATTTTAAAAAAGGATTAAAAAAACCTCTCCCTTCCCCCTTCTAGTCTATATATATTGTTGAATAATCATGGTAAAGGATATCAACACTTGTCCTCTACAATTTTCTTATAGTGTCACTACATTTTTTTCTTTCCAAGTCTTAAGTAAAATGGGTCTAAAATATGTGTTGTGTGCCAAGATAGAAATGAAGGCTAATAAGGATGTGTTTCATGATGTTTTTACAAATAAACCACACCATGTCTCTACTATGTCCCCTTTGCATATACAAGGTTTGGAACTTCTTGAAGGTGACATTGGAATTGTTGGATCCAAAATTTGTTGGAACTATACCCTTGGTAAGTTAAATATTTAAAAATGTCCTAATAAGCCCCACCCCACCCCACCCTTTCCCTCCCCTCCCCTACTCATTCCATCCTCATAGAATTTAGATATATACAAATGTTTTTAGAATAATATTATTTTACTTTCATATCGAACACGAAATATAGATAAGGAATCACTATCAAAACGGAGTAGCGGGTGCAGTCTATAAAAGTGCAGTGCGTTTACAAAGATTTATCATCCACAACCTACTTGAAAATTTTGGTTCTTTTTACGAATTTGATAATGATAAATCTGCGAATCTAAAAATTCATTTCGGCCAATTGAATCTTCTCGAACACTCTTCGATCCTAACTCATTTACGCTTTTGGTATTGACTAAAAATGTCATCCGGCTCCTCATCTAAGTTCAACGGATAAGAGAATGCCTTTTTTCTGGAAGTTTCCACGATAGTTTTTTCAACTATTTTAGCGATTATGATTGAGATAAATCTCTTTAGATGGTCTTTTAACATGTCAACTCTATGTTGTATCTCATTTCTAACTCTTTTTTTTTTGTAAGGTAGATGGGGAAAAGAAGATCTCCAAACAATACTTGAAACTATAGATCATGAAAAAAAGGTGCTCACACTCAAAGAATTTGAAGGAGATGTAACAGATAAATATGATAGTTATAAAGCAACTCTTCATATCGAAACAAAAGACGAAATTGATTTGGTTAGCTGGACATTGGAGTATGAAAGGCCAAATGAGAATGTCCCTGAACTTATAAATTTGCTGAACTTCGTTGTTGGTATGACAAAAGCTATTGATGATCACCATGCCAATTGATGAATTGATAAGATCTATGTTGCTCGTACTCTTCAAAAATGTCTTTAGATGTGTATTGAATCCTTTAAAAATAGTGCATTTTTGAAGGATCTGATACAAATATGGTAACATTTTTGAATAGTCCGAGCAACTTAGGATGGGATCATATATAAGCATGTGAGCTTTACATAAATAAACTTTGCTTTGTTTGTTGTTTGAAAGTATGGTAAAAAAAAACAATCCTTGTTGGTTGTGTACTTTCTTTTAATGTCGGTTGTATCTTTCTCAAGTAAGTGATATGTTGTCAACTATGTTAACCTTTGTGTTGTGTAATAAGACATGGGAATGAAGTTTATATATATTGCTCTTCGCCTCTTCCTAATTTTTATAGTCATATAGTGGTTGTTATTTTTGTTTAAATCAAGTATATTTTTGTACTATCAGAAATAATTTAAATATATCTCTTCTATTGTAATTTGACACTTAAATTTGTCCTTATTTACATACAGAAACATGCATAAAAGCTCAAAATCAAATGACCTAACCTCACTTTAAAATAGTCATTTCCTTTAGGAGTTATATCACGACCAGACCGTTGTGATTGACACCCACACTAACCCTTCGGTGGGAGAACCACTACTACAACTCAAACCAAGCAACTAAACCAAAAACTAAAGCATTTAAGGATACGAAACAAGTTAAATACTAAGGAAAAAAATAGGGAGTTCCCATAAACTCCAACAAAAGTCTATCAACTAAACATATGCGGAAGAAATAACCTAGAACCTGAAAGTCAATGTACCAAAACATCTAAAGTTCAATAAGTCTAAACAAGAAGGGATACAACCCCGAACTAATGCACTAATAACTAACTAGAAAGTCTAAGTCCGAAATGGTGGACATAGACGAAAGAGAACCCATGGCAGCCCAGAAGAATTGGTTCACCCTTGAATTCGAGTCACTGATTTTCTAAGCGAGGTCTGTTAGTAGCCGTTTGAAGATGCTCTGTACTCAACAAAAAATAAGAGCAAGTGCATTATCAATACACAACCATAGTGTACTGTTAGGATCACACGACTATCCCATTAAGTGCAACATAAATACAACATTACAAACATGCAACATACCGAACATATACAATATCGATTATCACATGCTCAATAATATACATTTATAACAAGTCACTGGTCCTTTCATGAAACCCAAACCCAAACTGTTAACATACTGAAACGTGGTACCCGATCCAATGTTTATGCCGAAATGTGGCAACCGATTCCATAATTATGCCGGAACGTGGTAACCGATCCCAATTAGTATACCGAAACGCGGTATCCGATCCAATCAACATACCACAATCACAATCAGAAATACATTCTCAATAATCATACAATCAAGAAGTGATTCATGGCATATACTTATTCATCTATCTCATTTACAACAAGTGTGATCAACAATGCAATATTCACATACATACATGTATCATAATGAAGCAAGAACAAACATACATCACACAATCATAGAATCACAACCATCACCTACCTCGAAACAAGCTTGAAACCCTAAGAAACTTGATCCTTCCATTTCCGGATTCGTTCCGCTTGTTCTTGGTCTACAAACAATCAATATAATACGAGAATCAATAAACAATCACTAATTACCTGGATTACTAACAATTTTATCAACCCTAGATCATACCCATGATCCCAATTATCCCAATTAGGGCTGTTTCCACCATAGAATCTAGATCAAACCCCTCTCCCATTGATAATTACCTATTCTAATATGTTCTACGGATCGAAAAAAGGATTCGGGGAGTGAAAAGCTTACCTTTAGCCTCAAGAATGGTAAAAAACTATCAAGAGTCGCCTGGGGTTTATTCCTTAGCTCTAAAAATCGAAAAGTGCAGAATGAAATTATTTAGGGGTTTATTTACGACTTTAAGTCGCGTCTGGCCCGCCAAAGCGGCCCTCACCCCGCTATAGCGGCCCTGCCAGAGCAACAAAACCCAGCGCCAAAGCGGCTTGCACGAAACAGTGAGCTATTTTAATAATTCCAAGACCCCCATTTCATAACACACCTCTAACCAATGATCAGAAAATCCCCTTCACGCTAAAATCGAATCCGGGAGTTTTACTCACCCGAATTCAATTTTGTAAAGTCGTACGGATTCCTTAACGACTTATCTAACTACTCATGTAATCATAATTAAATGACCCGGTTTCTACTAGATTTCCCTACACCTTAATGACTCCGATTTCATCCAAATCTGGACTAGGTTGGAAAATTTCAAGTTACTACGAAAAAGTTTTTCGACCCAAAAATTTTCCCCGTTGGCTTTTCTATAACGACGGAACCCGGTCATTACAAGTTAGGACCCACTTTGTTTAACCCGATCCGATATATTTGTCATATCTTTTCATGTGGCATCATTTCTTTTGATTTGTTTAAGAAAGAGTGTCTTCTTATTATAATTAGAAATAATTTAATTTAAAACTTTATTTTATAATAAAATAATTTACAATCATACAAATATTTAAGGATTATTTTAGATCACATACTTTAAAAGTCTTTCTTTTTCTCATGAATTTTATGTCAAGTTAAACGATGTCTGTGAATTTGAAAAATTGTTTGTAAGTATATTGCAAAACCCTTCTTTAAAAGTAAATTATATTTCAATATTTTTTTCTCACAAGTCACAACATGCATGTATAACGTAGTCTTATAATTATAATTCAGATTTATGCACGCTTGTAAGTTGACAACACAACTAATTACTTCCTCCCAGAATATAATAGAAAAACGTTTATTTTAACAGTAGTAATGCAAATTACAGAAATGTAAATCACCCAACACTTAGGTTTTATATGAAAACAATGCACAAAAATGAAGAGAGGAATTTTAGATTTTTACTATAGTTAAACTCACTAAATTAATATAGGTGGGACCATGAAATATTATTATTTTGTGGATGTATTATTTAATTGATGAATTAATATTAATTTATATAGTGTTTTGAGATTCAATGAACTTCCGGAGTGAAGGTTCAAACTTAAGGCTAAGGCAGCCAGTGAATCGAGGAGAGGTTGAGTGAAATCAACAGCTAGCCTTTTTGGAATTTGAAGATTAATTTTGCCTACATCAAAATCATAATATCTTACTAGCTAGTTTATGTATCATATTTATTGAATTCACATAAAAATAAATTCATTATGCATAAAAAAAATTATTATACATAAAGTACAACGAATACGTCAAAATCATTGTATCGTACTAAATTATGCATCATATATATTGAACTCACATAAAAAATAAATTAATTATACATAAAGTACAATGTATGTGTATGATTCATTGTAATATATTTTTGGTAAATGATCCATTGGGAAGATTAATGTTTTGGATGCTATCAATTTTGCAATCCCGACTTGGACGCCACATGTTCAATAACAAATTATTTTCGTCACTGCAATGTTCAGAGGATGAATCTCAGAGAATTTGAATAAACCCACTTGTGAAAACATCATTCATGAACTTGAGGTCATGATTAATGATCTTAGTTATCGCAATAAAATGGACGTCAATAACCTGTTAGATTACTCCGGTGAAAATGATACATCATCACCCTCTTCCTCATTCCCTTCCATCTGACTAAGCAACTGCTTATTCTTCTCAAGTGCAGCTGCAACTTCATGTTAGATGGAAGGGAATGAGGAAGAGGGTGATGATGCAACACCACCAGCTACAGCGAGGGCGTAAGGCTCAGCCAATTATAGAGTATGGTAAAAATTCTAATTGATTATTTTGCCAAAATGATGGAGTTTTGTTAAATTTCAATTATGATAATACTATTGAAGGAAGTTAGAAAAATGAAGGGACATATAGTTGGTTTATTGAGGTTATACAATGAATTTTGTTGTCATAGATTTTATGTCCTGTACTAACCCTGAGGAATGGGGTTTCAATTTAGAAATTTTGGAATATTTAGTGAATAAATGGCAGTAATGATTTTTTATGACATTGGTTGCTTGTAATTCTTTGTGTACACTCAATATAGAGGTCATTGGAGAAAGAAATAGAGAATAAGGGTGTGTTTGGTATGAAGGAAAACATTTTCCGGAAAATGTTTTCC